ACCCATTTAGTGATGATGGAGAGTATGGTTCCGATAACGACTATGATCCAGGATATGATGATAATACAGACAGCACTAGCACTGTTAGTGATCACACAAAGCAACGTGAAAAGAAACAACTAAAGAAACGTTCCAAGGACAACGCAACGAGGTCACATGGTAAACGCAACTCTGAAAGCAGTGTAAGTAGCAGCTCTGATTCTGACGATCGAACCGAAGGCTTTAGCGAGTGCACGGATGTATGTGATAGCGATGACAACGAGGATGATACAAATTCGATATCGGCAGAATCTAGTGATGAGAGTATTTTTGACAGTAGAAAGAGAAAAAAGAAGGGGCAGAGTTCCTCTTTAGGATCAAGATACAAAAAACCTAAGATCGCCAGTGCAGATCAGAGTACCGACAGTATGTCGTTAGATTCTGAGGCATTGCTAAATAATATAGAAAATCTTGAAAGCTCTTCAGTGCAACTCGATCCTGCAGTATTAGAAAATATCTCAATTTATTCACATATCGAAGGAAGTCACTCCCATACTAATCCACAAATTCAAGGTGCTGAAGACGACCATGCTGCTGCAGCTGCTGAGGTTAATCCCGCGCCTGCCAACCTACGTGCACTGGAACTAGACGCAGCTGCGCAGCGCCACTCTCCTGGTTCTCCTGCACCGGATCCAGCAGCTGCTGAGGGAAATCCCGCGCATGACAACCTACCTGCCTTGGACCTGGATGTAGCTGCGCAGCACCGCTCTCCTAGCTCTCCTGCACTGGATCGGGAGGCTGTTGAGGGAAATCCCGCGCCTATCAACGTATCTGCCCTGTACCTGGATGCAGCTGCACAGCGCCGCTATCCTGGCTCTCCTGCACCGGATTCAGCAGCTGCTGAGAGAAATCCCGCGCCTGACAACCTACCTGCGCTGTACCTAGACGCAGCTGCGCAGCGCCACTCTCCTGGTTCTCCTGCACCGGATCCAGCAGCTGCTGAGGGAAATCCCGCGCATGACAACCTACCTGCATTGGACCTAGATGCAGCTGCGCAGCAGCGCTCTCCTAGCTCTCCTGCACTGAATCGGGAGGCTGTTGAGGGAAATCCCGCGCCTGTCAAATTATCTGCCCTGTACCTGGACGCAACTGCGCAGCGCTGCTCTCCTGGCTCTCCTGCACCGGATCCAGCAGCTGCTGAAAGAAATCCCGCGCCTGCCAACTTATCGGCCCTGGATCTGGACGCAGTTGAGCAGCGCCGCACTCCTGGCTCTCCCGTATCGGATCCAACGGCTGCTGAGGAAAATCCCACGCCTTCCAACCTACCTGCTCTGGACCTGGACGCAGCTACGCAGTGCCGCTCTCCTAGCTCGTCTGCATCAGATCGGGAGGCTGCTGAGGAAAATCCCGCGCCAGCCAACCTTCCTGCCCTGGACTGGGACGCAACTACGCAGTGCCGCTCACCTAGCTCTTCTGCACCACCAGAACTAAACGCTACTGTAAGATATCCAACTCCGGCCAGCACACTTGCACTGGAGGTAGTTGCAGAGCGTGGCTTGTCCGGCTCTCCTGAGCCGGAACGAGATGCTGCCGAAACGAATTCTGCGCCTACCAGTCCATCTGCTTTGGATCGGGAAGCATTTGTACAACGCAACCCTTCTATCTGTCATGTGCTGGACCCAGAGGCCGCCGAAAGAAACTCCGTGCCTGACACACTCCCCGAGATAAGTCCAGCGACCAATTGCAGACCAAGCACTCCTCCACTGATAAATTATGATTGGGAACACACGAACACAGACATACCTTCGTTCGAGTTTGATGAAAGTTCAGCAGGTGTCCAGTTTGAAGTCAACCCAGCTATGACAGTTATGGAAATATTTGATAAAATTCTTAATCCTAATATTGTAGACTATATTGTAACATGTACTAATACGTACGGGCGAGCACTATGCGAGAAAACAAGACCTACTACTCGAAACTCACGTAGCTATAACTTTAGGGACACAAACCGGGAAGAAATCTTGAAATTTTTTGGATTATGTTTGCTTATGGGTCAAATCAAAATTCCTCAAAAACGCAAAAATTTTACGTATTCCGACCCACTGTATTATCACCCAATTTTTCACTATGTGATGTCCGCTCGAAGATTTGAGCAAATCTTGAGATGTATTTATGTATCAGATTTAGATTCAAAAGGAAAAGATAAAATTGAAAAATTTATTAATGCTATTACCAAGAGCTTCATGGAGTGCTATAAGCCATACAAACAGTTAAGTTTGGATGAATCTTTGCTTTTATTTAGAGGCCGCCTTGCCTTCAGACAATATATAAAGAGCAAAAAAGTACGTTACGGAATCAAATTCTTCGAGTTGACAACTTCTGATGGCTATGTTTTAAATATAATGATGTACTCCGGAAAAGACACAACTGCTCGAACTGGCAATAAATCTGAAAAGATCGTCCTTCGTCTCATGAGGCCATATTTGCTGAAGGGACATCAATTATACATGGATAATTATTACAATTCCGTAACACTTTCGCAAAAGCTAGTTGACTTAAAAACTCACACCACAAGTACCTTACGTTCAAACAGAAAAGATAATCCCAAAGACATCATTAAGAAAAAACTCAAGAAGAATCAACATGTGTGGGTACGAAAAAATAAGGTCTATGTTTCAAAATGGGTTGACAAGCGACCAGTTCTTATGGTAACAACTTCAGTTCATCCTCGGCTTATAGAAATACAAAACAGATTTCAACAAAGAAAAATTAAACCCGCAGAAGTGGCAGAATACAATCAACACATGTCCGGAGTTGATAGAGCAGATCAAATGATCTCATATTACTCCTCACCAAGGAAATCAATCCGGTGGTATAAAAAAGTGATGTTCCACTTGTTGGATGTCGCAGTATGGAACTCATTTTTTATTTTCAAAAAATACTGCCAAGCCAATTGTGATTTCTTGCTTTTCCGAGAGGAATTGATTCGAAGACTGTTGGACTTACCAGCAGATTTAACAGCAGAGCAAGTGATTTTAGCTCGCAGCAAATATGACAACAGAATCAGAGCTAATTTATTGCCACTTCCAGTCAGTACCATTGACGACGACGTCGGAAGCTAACGAGTCCATGGTCACTGGCCTGAGAAAATACCCGTGCAAGAGGGTTCAAACAAAACATCAAAGTACTTGAAATGCAAGATGTGCACGAAAAAAAAGGTGAGAAGGGAGACTTGCCTGAGATGTAAAGGTTGCCCTGAAAAGCCAGCACTGTGTGCTCTTTGCTTCGAAGAGTGGCACAAAGAAGTATAATGCTTTTTTACCTATTTTGTTCCTTTTTATGAGAGTGATATCAAATAAGTATAACTGTATCATGCATATGAGTATTTAGAAGTTTTATAATTTATTGCTACGATTGTTATACTAAATCTGCTAAACTGTGTAAGACTGAATATTATTGTGCTATACTGGTAATCTATTGATAAGATAGAAGCAGGCAACTGTTAATTTTGTGAAATAATTTGTTACTTTTATAGAAAATACCTAACTTACCAGAGTATTATTTGATTTTGTGATAGTAGCGTAAAATGTTAAAAGGTTACTCATTCATATGATAGGTAGGTAAAAGTAAGTGAGTATTTATAATTTTTATAATTTTTTGCTACCAATGTTATACCAAAACTGTGTAAGACTGATTGTTATTGTGCTATAGTGGTAATTTATTGATAAGATAGTAGTGAGAAACTGTTTATTTTGAGAAATAATTCGTTACTTCTATGGGATAAACCAAACTTACCATAGTATTATTTGATCGATATGTGATAATAGCGTAAAATTTGAAAAAGTTACTCACACATAGGATAGGAAGTAAAAGTAAATTTTATTAAACTAAAACTTGGAAGAAATTTATGGACAATTGCACCTAAATTATTTTCAATTAAGTCGAGAAGAGGGTAGATATTGACACAAAATGTGATATGTAGGTAATTTTTGAAAAATAGTTGATTTTCTAAAAATATATAACAAAAAACTGATGATTATTGAGTATTATTCCATATCAAATCCTGTTTATTATTTTATTTTTATAAATCAAAGTCAACGTCAGGAAACGATGAGCGACAGATAATTTGCTCGTATAGTCGATTTATGATCAGACCGTCAAGTAACGTTGGAGTAATTAAACGTTGTTTCCCAAAACTTTAAGTTCTACTAGATATTTGTGGAACAACAGTTATGAACGTCAACGTGCATTGACGCTGCTTTCTTATCATGGTATCAATATTTGACAACTAGTAACAGAACGGCTGTAAACGTTGACGTTGTTTAACGTTGTTCAATATAGTGTAGAAATCTTGTCTAGAGATTAAAGCAGAACGTGTCCCAACGTTGACGTTGTTAAACGTTGTTCAATATAGTGTAGAAATCTTGTCTAGAGATTATAGCAGAACGTGTCCCAACGTTAACGTTGTTAAACGTTGTTCAATATAGTGTAGAAATCTTGACTAGAGATTAAAGCAGAACGTGTCCCAACGTTGACGTTATTAAACGTTGTTGAATATAGTGTAGGGATCTTGTCTAGAGATGAAAGCAGAACGTGTACCGACATTGACGTTTAACGACGTTCTTGTAATCTGTAAGGTCTAAAATACCCACAAATCGGAACAGAACGGCTGGTAACGTAGACGTACCTAAACGTTGTTGCCCCTTTGATAGATAATAATTTTAGCAATATACCGGTGCGTCCTTGAACGTCAACGATTACTGACGTTACCGACAAGTCATATGCAATATTTTGTTTGTGATACGGCGATACGAGTATGGACGTCCTCAAACTTTGTATGGAGTAATCATGCGCCACGGCCTATAAGTTGAATATTATGGTATGCGTGCATGAACGTGTTAAGATGCAATTTAGACCACTGGGCGACTATTATTTTGGATAAATATTCTTGCGAAGTAAAATTTTACAGGCGTTGATTCTCAAAGCATACGTTAATAGCCCCCACCGCTTGTCGTAAAACGATGATTATGTAAGCGGCGACGTTAAACCTTTTTTTGTTAGCAACACTGCGAAGTCGCCACACTCATCTTTCGTAGCGCGGCAACAGTCCAGTGTTCGCTTAGCGCTGAAAGCGGCGCTCATCTCGCTTGAATGCCCAGCTCGCTATTTGCAGAACAATGCAGGCTTGAAGTGCGCACGCCGGTGGGAAAGCGCGGGAGGGAAAACGCGCGAAGCTACTGCCAGTCTCGGGCCGCGAGCGCGAGCGGCCGCGCGCCGAACACGCAAAGTACGAAAGCGCCCTGGCGAACGACGAACGCTGCGCTCGCCGCGGCGTCACGTTCTCCGGATCGACCGCGAACGGCAACACTACCACCGTGACTGAATTTCAGTGTCAAAAGGTTGGTGACCCCCCTATACAAGTGCAATCGAAATTCAACCCAGACAATAAAGTTCTAAAGCCTATATTGCAAATATCGATACGATCGGTGGCGTAGTAAATTTCTCGTACTGATGTCGTAGTAATCTCGTTTTACGATTCCTAATACCTACCTTGGGCAGGGCAAATATTTGAAAGGGTAGTATATTTTCTAATTTAAGAAAAAACAAAAACATGAAAATTTATATTTACCTTTGCTTATAAAAGAATTTGTCACTAAAAAATTTACGAGCATCATACGAGTTAGCTGGATGTCAAGATTTTTAGATAGTAAAACTACGAATGTCTTGATCTAATGGCGTAAATGGATTTTAGTCGCACATAATGGCACATTAAAACACGGCTTTTGTTTATACGGTCCACGTTACGAAACCTAAAGAGGTTCGTTCACGTTTCCTGACGATTGAGTAAACTATAAACACCGGTTGGTAATAGGAACTAGCATTAAGAGAAATTGTGACCCACATGTAGCGTCTTACACTGAAATTAGATTGAGGAAATGCGTTCACATGAAGGCGCGTAACTAAATCAAGCCAAGGGATATGTCATGTCCCAGAAATATAGTAGTTTCAATTCAAATTACCAATTGATGAGATCATCCCATCGAAAATAAAAAGAGTCACCGCAGATTGTACGTTTTACTATAATCGCTCTTATATTAAAGTCAATAAAATACTTATTGAAGTTTCTCCTGTTCCGGTGACCTACAAAGATTTAAAGTACTACTCCCTGTAGATTATGACATTGTTTCTCCATGTCATTATACTAAATATTAAGGATTGAATAAAGCTATTTTTTTGGATTTTACCGCGTTTATTTTTTTGCGTAGTTCGGATCAAAAGGAATAATTAAAAAGTTGAATGTACTCCGGGTTAACTTTGACATCGGGACGTTAATCATCTAAGCCCCCCGTGACCACGGATGCTACAAAGCACCCGTACCGTAGGGAATTAAAAATAAGCAAAATTAAACGTGATCAAATTCGTAAAATACTTTATTCAATATATAGTGTTCGTGTAAATAAACAAGTAAAATTAAAAATTTTGTACAACCGACTTCAATATAAATGTATTCAAAGTCAATTAAATACGCATTATTAAGGACAACACAAAAACTACTGGTTAGATCTTGATTAAATTTATTTGGGACCACATGAGAAGCACCAGTTTTCCAATAAAAAAGCATCATCAAATCGGTTAAGCTGGAAAAAAGTTCTCGAGGTAACACACATAAAAAAATACAGTTGAATTGCGAACCTCCTCCTTTTTTGAAGTCGGTTGAAAAAATCATTAATTATTATCTTAATATCGTACGTGATAAGGGCTACTTTCATAACATATACAGACTATCTGTTGAATACTGTATATTTCTAAAAAAAATAACGGAAATGTATAATTACGACTTAGAATCTATTTTAATGACCGAACTTCCTGCAAGACATTCTCGTCTTGGGAAAGAAAAATAGCTGCAATTTCCCAAGGATCCAACGAATGACACGTTCTATACATATAACAAATATGTGGGTAATATATATCATTTATTAATAATACAATGATTTATATTAAATGTAAATAAAGAGTGGAACTAAATGAGTTTTATACTTTTGAATTCTGAAATTAAGTAATAATTTATTAGGCTCAAGGATGGTAAAGATAAGGTTCTTTTTTAGATTTAAATTTAATTATTCTTATAAAACTGATTTTTTGTTTTACGGAAACGTAATTTGTAAACAATATAGTTTTGATTTTGTAAGAGTCATAAGTACATATTTTATTAATTGGATAAAAAAGCGGCAAAAATCACAATATTTCCTAAACAAATTTTTAGTAGATTCATCATCGTCGGTCAGTACATCCCATCGCAAGTTCTGCCCCCAAGTCGCCCCCAAAGAACGCTGCAAAGAAAGATCCTGCACCACCTGTATCCCTCGACAGGTCGATAACCTTGTGGGGGCTACACTACTCTTCGAGATCGTTTCTTTCCCATCGATTGTCAACTTTTTAATAGCTTATTATATTACGTAATCACATAATTATGTTACACTTTTACATATTTTTCATCAGCTAGTAAAATTTCATTGTTAAACATGGACGACTTTATATCTGACTTACAATAAATGGCAACATCTATCGCAAGCTATGAGACTACGGGCATGTCTTATAGTTTGTTAGTACACACACAGGACAAAATGTACGCAACCACATATCGTACTTATACGGCAGTGTTTATATAAAAATCTTTCAAATGTTTCTAAACGGACTTGTAAAGATAGTGAGGATGCACGTATACGATGCAATTTTATTATAAAAAATGATTAACAACCGAAAATTTCTGTCCCATCCGACAATGACTGTGAGAGATTGCACCTGTGCTGGCGCATACACTCCGGCACTATTATTCAGTATTACGCGAATGGCTAGTCTCTATTGAGACCGGCCGCCGTGACCGAGATGTAGTCTGGATTATAATAATAATTATTAATATTAATAATTAAACTTTTAATAAAAAGTCGACTCCAAAAAACAAAAATTATAAAATAATTTCCGGATACTAGTTTCTGAAACAGGTGACAAGACACAGTGTATAAAAGATTTAAAGACCAACTACTTAAAAAAAACCTAACCAAGTGCGTGCAGGCCTCGTACAATACAGTGAGATAGGGTTCCGTAGTTGCCCGTCACAATACGTGAACTTAGAAGGTACGTTCTTGATAATATGAGCGTATTGAGTCCGAGGTTTGACTGATATAACGACCATAAATGGGCCCAAATATAGGACGGTGGTAACTGCAGGACTTGTTTTCCGAGACTTATTTATACAAGGCTCATAGGGACTGATATTTTAAAAAAGTTAAAAAAAACTACGATTTTGTTAAAATAATACAATCTACATCAATTCACATACCAAGTTCGTACAAAAATAGTAGTAGTTCCCTATCCTATTAATTTCCGGCAGTGCAATCCTCTGATATAAACCAACACTGCTCTAAACTAAATTTGGTCGACTATCACTCGTGAACTTGTTGAACCTGTACTTAGCTGTTTTCCTTTTTACTACATTGTGCTATCGTGCATACTTTTCATATTTCCAAAAACAGCGTTTTAGTTTATAGTGGAAGGAAGGGACACGTGACATTAATAAAAATGCTACTTTAAAGCTAAATATTTCGTAAAACGGACCCCTGAAAGGAAAAATATTGAGATATCCATACCCGCAATATTTTTGAAAAGCCTATACAAAATACCTTACACGATGGAAATAACGGATAAAAAACGACCTGTATTGAAGGTATCCATAAAAAAAAAACTTTTTCAAAATTTTATTATTTTATCACACTTTGTAGACGAGATTAATATCTATAACTATACTTTTTAGTTCTCTGAGTAAAACCGCGCACGGACGGACGTGACGAAACTATAAGGGTTCCTTGTTGTTTACTAAATCCTTGTTTTACTACGGAACCCTAAAACATACAATCTACTTCGAAAGATTTTTTTGTAGTCTACTAATGACATCGGCGGTAGCTTCAGAAATGCTCCATTAGAACAGACGCACATAACGATTTTAAACTATTTGATGCTTAAGGAATTCAAGTATCCCTTCCAACTTAAAACTTAAAAATTATATCATTTTCTAATAAGCACAAATCATCTATAAACGGTGACGGCTTTTGTAACTTGGCACTATAAATATGGGTCTTCGATCGCCCACTGGTTGCCAGGCGTGGTAGTGTTATCACATACCATCTACGGACAGCTACAACAATGGTCGCTTTGAGAGAAGCGCCCGCTTACGATGATTTCATATTATGATGATTATATGAAATTATCGCATCAAGTAAGCTATTCTGATAAAAGACCGTTACTTACTAATTGGATACACATTATTCTCTCTTTTGAGGTCGTCTTCAATAAATATTAAAAGTAATAACTACACGATGGTGCAGTGGTTTAGCCTTAAAACGCGTTGCAGAACGCGGGTTAGAATTCCGAAAGTGGTAATAATCCCGAGTCTGATTATTTTTTCACGCATAATAAACGTCTCTATGATACGGCAGAAAATCCAAGTTTGGAGTGTCTAAAAATAATAAAGTAGTGGTCTTAATATAAATATTTAAGCACATACCATTTCGATAGAAATGTATGTTGTGTTAACTTCTAAAAAGTATTTCAAATTACTTGAGTATAAATACTCCAGCATCCTCAAATCCTACGTCGGACTTTACGCGTGGTAGTCATGTTGCAGCGCGAATGGGTAAGTTCGACGGGGAAAGACCGCACTCTTACTTTACTGGAATCCTGACCTTTAATCGAGGATAAATGTAAATATCTAAGGGCCACAGTATCCACTAACCTTAAAAGTCTCACGGTAAAGCTAAAAGTTGCAATTATATTAAATGACAATTACAAGACAAAATTGGACCAAAAAGGCTTAACTAGAAACGAAAGACACATTAATTAAATGCCGAATGTTAATTGTTAAAGCGGTTGTTAATAATTACACGGCGGCCTACTTCCCCACACAACTTGAGGGCAATCAATTCTGTTGCAGCATTAACAACAATAACTTCCTTTCATTGTTAGCGATGAAAATTACGAGTAAAAATAATTTAAACTGACATCTTTTGTAGTAATTCTGAACGTAAGTATGATTTTTTTCTTTGACGAGTAAAAAAGTTGCGATTTAATTAAATAAAAATTTGTTATCCACTTTATTTTTGATACAACATCAATATTTATGTGAGATTCCGAGACACGTGCGTCCGATAAGTGGATGCTGTGGCCCATAGACATTTAGATCTGTACGCGATTAAGAATAAAATGCAGATGCGTTGCTACCCCTGAGGACTGGGATAGAATGTACATGTACAAATAATCTACAGTGAATAAAAAAGTTTCTGTTTCTGTTTCGATGCAGAATGCCTCATTTGCAGTAAAAAGGGTCTCCAGTTCTCTACACTTA